ACCTAAAGTTAAATTAACATAGTCAAAACTAAAGCTTAAATTGTTGATTTACAACTTACAACAATCAGCAACGTGGGGAGATATGTTTTATCACCAAAGCTTTAGCCTTAGTGAAGACATTTTCAAATAATTTCAAATTTGATTTTAGAAAGGTGGGAGACACTTGTATGCTCAGTTTAAAAGCTTTCATAATTGCATTCAACAATTTTCCTTTACTATATTCACCTCAATATGAAATATTGTACGAGTAGCGTGATTTTGAAGGTCACACGCTTCGAACGTATCCTAATGAACATTTTTACACTACTAACTAATTTTTACAATGTTTCGTTCGCAGAAAAAAAAATAGGGAAACTTATTTATTGGATGGCCTTCGTATAAGGCGGTAAAATGTCATCTTTATATACGAAAATGAAGCATTTTATAGCACGGATGTTTCTTTTGAACATAAAAAACGGAACCTTCCAATACAGTATTGGAGTTCTATGAAGCATTCTGATAGATTGAATTCGCGAAACTCCGCTGGAAGGGTTCATCACTAATGAACCAAGCTCTCCCAATATTTTTTCATCGCAGCAAGGATAGTTGTAGTTTGTTTTATTAGACGAAAAACATGGTGAAGGAAGACGAGTTTCTTTTATTGATGAATAGGTGCAATCTTTCGGGTAAAAACCCTTCAACAGGCGAGATCTACATTTTTACCCGAAAGCTTGCACCTATTCATCAATAAAAGAAACTCGTCTTCCATCACCATGTTTTTCGTCTAATTTCAATCCAGGAAGAATTCTTTATCTAAGTTTGTTTTATGTTTAAAAGAAACATTCGGTCTATAATGCTTTCATTTTTTACATATAAATATACTCATAGACAAAACCTAAGGATGTAGAATGTATTTTTAATATAGCTGCTCATCTGTAATTTTGAAGAAGACAGAGGTTGTTCACAGTTGGTTATATCGTGTGTCTTCAATAAAGGTCACTGTAATATCTTTCAGAGTTATTGTCTGAATCCCGATATACATGCTAAAAGTTACAACTTCCTTAAGTTTTGTCCATGAGTGTATCTTTCAGAGTTATTGTCTGAATCCCGATATACATGTAAAAGGTACAACTTCCTTAAGTTTTGTCTCCATGAGTGTATATAATGTATATGTATAATGTATAACTACGGATATATTAGGAGTATAAATAAGTTCGTGGGGGTTTTTTTTCGAAACTTGGAACTTTATTGAGAAAATTTGGTTAGACCTTCGATGTTCAAAGTATTGTCCGTCGCTATCCACTTCTTTTTCCCATCTTTCTGGCAATTGACGGATCCCATCGTGGAAAAAGGCCGGCTCTTCGACCGCTATCTATTCATCGATCCATTTTTTGACTTCATCGTAATTGGAGAAGTGCTGGTCAACCAGGCCATGTTACATTGATCCGAAGAGATAATAATCGGAAGGAGCAATGTCTGGGCTATACGGAGGGTGGGGTAAGACTTCCCATTTGAGCGCTTTTAAGTACGTTTTAACGGGGGCTGCAGCATGTGGCCGAGCATTATCATGTTGCAAAATAGCTTTGTCGTGTCTATTGGCGTATTGCAGCTGTTTTTCTCGCAATGCTCAGATCAAACGCATCAATAATCTTTGGTAGACCTCCCCTGTGATACTTTTGTTCGGTTGTAGCAGCTCATAATATACCACTCCTAGCTGGTCCCACCAAATACACAGCATAATCTTCCCGCCATGAATATTCGGCTTGGGCGTCGATGATGAGACACGGCCAAGGTATCCATACGTTGTCCGACGTTTTGGATAATCGAAATGAGCCCACTTTTTATCACCAGTTACAATTCGATGCAAAACCCCCTTTCTTTTTTGACGTTGGAACAGGCGTTCAATGTCTCTTGGCTTCAGTTCATATGACACCTAATTTCCGACCTTTCTGATCATTCCTATTTCTTTTAAGCAATGAAAAATGGCTGGTTGAGTGACTATCAAGTGTTTTGCGAGTTCCTTTTTCATTTGTGTTGGATCTTCATCGAGCCTTGACTCTAATTATCCACTCTCAAACTTTAATGGCGTTATGGGTCTTTCTTCTTCTTCCAAATCAAAATTACCGCTTTTAAACCGTGCAAACCACTTCTGGTATGTTCAATCAGCTAGAGCATGGTTACCATAAACTGTAATCTATAGACATGCTACATGCACTTCCTTCGGACTTCTAACATATACAGAAACTTGTTTATAAATTCAGTATCTCTGTGTTGAATGGTATGTTGGCCCGAAATATTGTGAAATAAAAGAAATAAGAAAAAAAAAGGAAACCCTTGAATCCTTATTGATTGAGTCAAAATATACAGAAATGGTCGATCAAAAGAGGATTAAAAGATCTACAATCTTCATACAAATACAGTAAAGGTAGACCAATACGATCTACATGTACTCGGCGTATTCTAGAAGATCTATAGACATGCTACATGGAATTCCTACGGATTCTAACATATACAAAAATGGTGGATTGTAAGAGGAAGATTGTGTGTACAAGAAAACACCTCCTTAATTCAGCTACTGAGATGTTTGCCCTAAGCGAAATAGCAACTAAGGCATTGTCCATTGTTAGGCTGATGGGACGATTCTGCTAACATGCGGGTCATTCCGCCCAGTTGGCTGATTGTTAGAGATCCTTGTAGGATTGATCGCCTACAAACACATTCAGCCATGGGGCTTTCCATAGTTCACAATTACTATGGCCTAGGTGAGCAAAATCTTAGAGATTTGGAATACTCGATTGAATCTATAGCTGATTATTCCCCCCAGTTGGCTGATTGTTAGAGATCCTTGTAGAATTGATCGCTTACAAACACATTCAGCCATGGAGCTTTACATAGTTCACAATTACTATGGCCTAGGTGAGAAAAATCTTAGAGATTTTGAAATACTCGATTGAATCTATAGCTGATTATTCCGCCCAGTTGGCTGATGGTTAGAGATCCTTGTAGAATTGATCGCCTACAAACACATTCTTCCATGGAGCTTTCCATAGTTCACAATTACTATGGCCTAGGTGAGCAAAATCTTAGAGATTTTGAAATACTCGATTGAATCTATAGCTGATTATTCCGCCCAGTTGGCTGATTGTTAGAGATCCTTGTAGAATTGATCGCTTACAAACACATTCTTCCATGGGGCTTTCCATAGTTTACACTTACTATGGCCTAGGTGGGCAAAATCTTAGAGATTTGGAATACTCGATTCAATCTTTTGCTGCTTATGTTTGCTCGTTTCAATAGAGAAGGAGTATCTAGGATCTATACAATTATTTTAGTTTTAAGACAATGATAATATCTCTTTTTATGGAAATTAGAAACTATTTTAGACGCGTAAGATTCTTTTTGAAATTAAACAATTTCTACTGCCCTTACTGCAATGGAAAAATTAAAGGGAGGGCCTGGCTCATTAGTGGTTAACCCTCTCAGCGATTCCTGATGAGTCAGGCCCTCCCTTTAATTTTTCCATTGCAGTAAGGGCAGTAGAAATTGTTTAATTTCAAAAAGAATTCTTACGCATCTAAAATAGTTTCTAATTTTGATAACAGATGGCGCGCTAGTGCATCGTAATATAATCTCTCTTTCCTTATCCTATATCCCCTCTATGAGGAGGTTTGTAGGTTTGAAGTAGTGGTCCTATACCAGCATGTGACGGAGGTACTTTCCGAGACACTCTCGACAGAAAACAAGATAATTCTGCGAGATTTCCTCAACATGGCAATTAAACATGTTGAGGACAAAGACCCATTTATAACCAAGGGCCTATCCGAATTCAAGATGTCTTGTAGCCCTTGATCTAAACCAATGAAGCCTGTTTAGATTTCATTATGTATATTTATCCTTGTTATTATTTTCTTTAAGTTTCATCTGTCACCATAATATTTTATGAACGTTGTAATAAAAGTTGTTTCAATCTCAATCTCTTTCCTTATAGAATGAGAAACACAAGTTGGTAAGAAGGGTTCTTTATATAAGGGGACAATCCTAAAAGCTTTCGGGAAATACACCTTTCTATGGGTACAGAATGACACATATTCTACGTATATACAGTTACGAGCGTCATGCGTCATCTCTGTCACCGTTTGCTTTTTTTTTTTTGGAATGGCGCTCTCCTATTGGTTGGCTACGATCACGCCACCACTACGCGAGACACTTTGTTTTTGACTTTGCCCCCTCCCCCACTCGCTTTTTAGTTTTTGTAACTATTGTGTTGGAGCGGGTCGCCCCTTAAATAAATGCATATATTAGTTAATAACTAACTGGAATCCTCTCTTTCTTTTTGCCAGTAAGAGACGCCTACGGAAGCCAACAGTACATAGACAGATAAAGCACATAGGCTATAGTTATTAACTGATATATGCATTTATTTAAGGCGCCAATTTATAATTGTAACAAATAGTATTTGAATAAAAACATTCAATCGGGTAAAACACGGGCGTTAATGATCCAACAGGTCCACGTGTCTAAATTAAAACACGGGCGTTGCCCGGGTCATTCGGCTAGTGTAGACATATGGTGCACTTACAGTAAAAGCAGTCGCCTTCTTCTACCCACTATGGTTATAAGGGCCTGTACTACGTGTACTATGAAGGTATAATGTCTGTGAAAAAAGGAACACCAATAAAAACCATGAAGAACAAAGAAGAATGTTTTGACATGAAGAACAAAGGATGATCTTTAATTTTTAAATAACCTTTTGTATTTAGATATATAATCTTTTGCATTTAATCATTTCTTACTTTTATAATGTTGTCTAAGTATATAAGCCAATAAATATATTTTATAACAAATGCTCCAACTCTTCAATCGAAAATTAACAACATACTAGAGATAAGAAAAATAAAAATAAAATAAAAATTAAAATTAAAATATACAAGTATCAGAGTCATCAATTAATTCTTAATCAATTTTGTCACCGTTGGCTTTTGTGAATGGAATAAATACCCAAATATGGCCATTTCTCATAAGCATCGGTAAAATGGTAAAATGCTCGCCTGCCACGCGGGCGGCCCGGGTTCGATTCCCGGCCGATGCAATTTTTTTTTTTAACAATTTTTAAAACTCATTTATATATTCCTGGTTCAAATCACATTAATAGGTACCGCTCAGCAAGAGCAACCTAGTTCATGATAATTGAACAATGAATAATATGTGAAGCACATATTAAACAAATTTTAACGCGGGATTCAATCCCGGTTCATGACTGTCGGGAACCGATGGTGTTACCCACTTGTCCACTGACTTTATCTATTATATATATAAAAATGAATGTTTGTCTGTCTGTGTGTGTGTGTTCTCTATAGATTCAAAAACCGTACATCCAATCGCCGTGAAATTTTGGAATATTATTAGGCATATCCCCGGAAAGGTTTTCGAAAAATAATTTCTTGAATATCTTTAATATCCTTAGAGTTATTTGCATATTTGTAGCTTTAACTCGCAAGCAGCGCCACCTTGCGACGGAGATAGGCTTAGGTCTGCCCCCCCCCCCCCCCCCCCCTGTCGAGAAAATGTAATAGTCCGGCCGCCGGCCGATTGGACAGTCAAAGTTCCCACCGACCAATCAGAGGGATCAAGAGGTCCTGGCGCGCGGGGGCAGAGTTGGTGACACAGCTGTGCCAAGTAGACAAGAAAAAAGCCTCGCGGGTGACCTCCGGGAACTACGTATATCTTCCATAAACGACAACATGATTTTATTCAACTTATCGAGTATTTTTCAAGGGACCGGGAAAAAATGTTCACTAGATAAAACGATGATTTTGTAATGTAGAAAATTAGGAAAGACAAAATTCAGGATGACACGGCACACAGGGACCGGGAAAAAATGATCACTTTATCGAGAGATTCAAATTTACGAGTTTCAATTATCGAAATCTACTTATCGAGTATTTTTTAAGGGACCGGGAAAAAATGTTCACTAGATAAAACGATGATTTTGTAATGTAGAAAATTAGGAAATACAAAATTCAGGATGACACGGCACACAGGGACCGGGATAAAATGGTCACTTTATCGAGAGATTCAAATTTACGAGTTTCAAATTATCAAAATATATCTATTATTTTTTATATGTTTTTAGAGAATTGTTTTAACAAATGTTCGTTAGACAAACCTTTACTCGGGTAAAAGCCGGGCGAAGCCGGGTATATCCGCTAGTTAATTTATATATTATACAAGAATGACATCCACGGCGCCAATTTATAATTGTAACGAATAGTATTTGAATAAAAGCATTTAATCGGGTTAAACCCTGGCGTTGCCCAGGCCATTCGGCTAGTGATTATATGGATAACGCAAAGATAGAAGTTGCCTGGACGATATTCATATTTCTTTTAAAATAGACACTTCGGACAGTTAAAGTTTTATTTTATCAGCGAGATCAAATTTAACGCCAAATACTTTATTTTTATTTATTTCTCCTGACGAAGACAAAATATTTTGAATAAAACGTTGAGAAAATAAAACCCTTTACTTGTCGGAGTTTCTAGTTTAAAAGAAATATATGGAAATTCAAAATTTTAAATAAAAGGCATATATTGGATTAAAATATCATTTATTTTACCAATAGCCAATTTTGTGGCTTTATGTTGGTACTCGTGTCTCTCACTTATGCCGACAAGCTCGGCCATTTTGAATGTTCACTTAATTGTTGACAGCTGCTTTGCTTGCAGGTGTTTTGGATCATCTTCGATTTTTACCTATTAAAAAAATGGATCAAAGAACCTGTATCAAATTTTGTGTGAAAAACGAAATTAAGTGCGCGGATGCATTCCGAATGTTGACTGTGGCATACGGAGAAGCTACCTTGGACCGAAGCAACGTTTATCGGTGGTACAAAATGTTCTCAGAAGGCCGAGAAGATGTGAACGACGAAGAGCGTGCCGGACGCCCGAGCACTTCAACAACAGACGAAAAAATTAATGAAGTGGAGAAAATGATATTGGCCAATCGTCGAATCACCGTTAGAGAAGTTGCTGAGGACCTAAACATATCGATTGGCTCGTGCCATTCGATTTTTATCGATGATTTGGGCATGAGACGGGTCGCCGCGAAATTCGTACCAAAATTGCTCAATTGCGACCAAAAACAGCATCGCATGAACATTGCTAATGAGATGTTGGACTCTGTCCGCGACGACCCAAATTTGCTCCAGAGGGTCATAACTGGTGACGAAGCGTGGGTTTATGGTTATGACGTGGAAACCAAAGCTCAATCATCTCAATGGAAGCTGCCGCACGAACCAAGACCGAAAAGAGTGCGCCAAGTTCGGTCGAATGTGAAGTTTTGCTGACAGTTTTCTTCGATTGCAGGGGCGTGGTACATCATGTGTTCTTGCCACAGGGTAGAACGGTCAATAAGGAATATTACCTGCAAGTTATGCGCAATTTGCGCGAAGCAATCCGCCAGAAACGCCCGGATTTGTGGAAGAACAAAAATTGGCTTTTGCACCACGATAACGCCCCTGCTCACACATCGTTGCTTGTGCGCGACTTTTTGGCCAAAAACAACACACTAATGATGCCGCAGCCACCGTATTCCCCAGATCTGGCCCCCTGTGACTTTTTCTTGTTCCCTAAACTTAAGAGGCCCATGAAAGGACGAAGTTACGCTACGCTTGACGAGATAAAGACGGCATCGAAGGAGGAGCTGAAAAAGATTTTTTAAAATTATTTTTTGAAGTGCTTCGAAGATTGGTAAAACCGTTGGCACAAGTGTATAATATCTCATGGGGATTGCTTTGAAGGGAACAAAATAGGTATTCATGAATAAATAAATAATTTTTGGAAAAACACAAAAGTCGCGATACATTTTGAACACACCTCGTATTTCAGTTGTCTGAACGCCAACCTTTATCAAGGTATTATAACATATCAATGTGTGTTAACAACAAACTCAGCGCCACATAACGTCAATAGAATTAAGTGTTAAAAATATTTTTGCTTATATTCAATGGGGAGAAAATAATTTGATATATATATTTATTTAAACATATAGAAACTTTCTCCTTGGAATATAAATACTATAAAATAAAGCGTTAGGAGAAAATGAGGAAAGCTCGTGTAGTCGATTAATAAAAAATCATTTTCTCCTAACGCTTTATTTTATAGTATTTATATATATTTATATAATGGACAAAATAAATTTTTGTAAAATATGGGTGTGAATATATATATCAATTTTTTCTCCCCATTGAATATAAGCAAAAATATTTTTTAACACTTAATTCTATTGACGTTATGTGGCTCTGTTGTTGACACACATTAATATGTTATAATATCTTGATAAAGGTTGGCGTTCAGCCAACTAAAATATTGGTAAAATAAATGATATTTTGATCCAATATATGCCTTTTTATTTAAAGATTTATTTATGGATTGCTCTATTTTCAAAATATATGGATATGTTTGAAAGATTTATAATGTATGATATACTGTAAAAAAGATATATTTCCCAATGAGAAAATCGGTGTACGGAAGAGATGCCATCAAATAGGTCAATTCCCCTGTTTTATACAACAGCGGGTTTCAGCATCTCCGTTTGATTGTACGTTAGGGCATCAGTATTCCCGTATTACAGTGGATTGTGTGTAACCGAACGGGGCTCTGGCACAACTTCCTTAAGTTTTGTCCATGAGTAAAAAAATGTATCAAGCAATGTTTGAATGAGTTTAAATTACAACCGATTCTGTGCAAATAATAAAGCGATCAAACGTTTGAAGTTTACGTTTGGCAAGAAAGTTAACAGAAACAAAGGAAACTGCGTTACAATTACTTACACTATAAAAAGATTAATTAGATAATTAACCCAATAAAACTTAAATTGGATGTCTGTGTCTTTAAGGATGGAGATACAATGAACTATTTGACCGATAACACATGGACGAATAAATTTCATATCTCCTGGAAAGTTCCAAACTTTTATATGTCCCTAAAGAAACATAAAGTATTAAAAATAAATCCAAATAAATAAATAGTATATGACGTTCGGGTAATAGAGTTGTTACCTAAACGTCACACACTATTTATTCATTTAGATTTGGTCTTATTACTTTGTGTTTGTAATCTATAATCTAAATTGTACCTTATCATTGGAGATTTGGTCTTATTACCTTGTGTTTATAATCTATTATCCAAATTGTACCTTATCATTGGAGATTTGGTCTTATTACCTTGTGTTTATAATCTATAATCCAAATTGTACCTTATCATTGGAGATTAGGTCTTATTACCTTGTGTTTATAATCTATAATCCAAATTGTACCTTATCATTGGAGATTTGGTCTTATTACCTTGTGTTTATAATCTATAATCCAAATTGTACCTTATCATTGGAGATTTGGTCTTATTACCTTGTGTTTATAATCTATAATCCAAATTGTACCTTATCATTGAAGATTTGGTCTTATTACATTGTGTTTCTAATCTATAATCCAAATTGTGCCGTATCATTGGAGATTTGGTCTTATTACCTTGTGTTTTATAATCTATAATCCAAATTGTATCTTATCATTGGATACTTGGTCTTTTTACCTTGTGTTTATAATCTATAATCCAAATTGTGCTTCATCATTGCCTTAAATAGAGTTAATGCAACAACAAAACTAAAACAACAAAAACCTATATTATATATTACACTGCGGCTTGTGATTGTAAACAACACTTGAAGCTACATCGCATGAGTTTCTTTTCAATGAAAAATCGAAATTTTATTTCAAGGTGAAATATTGACTATTTATAACCTTTTTGGATGAGGTATGAAAGGGTGAATTATGAAGAGTATGTTGATGTTTATCATTTAAAATATTCATTTTCATTCTATGATTTAATTAATCTGTGAACTAATTTATTCTGTGGTGTTGTATGTATATAAATATGTGTATCTCTTTGAGTAAGAGTGGGAGATAGTATATGAGGAGACGTTAAGGTGTAAGAGTATTTAGTTTTTATTATAGTCATTGTTTTTGTACCTTCAATAAAGAAGTTTTAAGTTTAAATAGAGACTAATTTATTAAGATTCTCTCCCCCCCCCCAACAA